AGTGAAAGATCTTGGGAGCCAGTATTCTGGGTGAGGGACCTCCCTGAGGTCACCTATGTCCACATCCCATCAGCCTAGCCAAAGCCCAGGCCACCACCATACCCAGGTCCACCCTGGCCTCTCAGAGGTTGATTACAGAAGCTCGCTCCCACCCCAAGGCCTTGGCACGTGCTGTGCTTCTCCCTCTCCCCAAACACCGCTCCCTCAGATGCTACCCTGCCTTGAGCAGCTTCTTCCTGAGACCCCTCCATGCCCCAGGGCCAGGTTCAATCCCAAGTTTCACACCTCCAGAATGGTTCTGGAACAGGCAATCAAGTCCCCCAAGCCCTGGCCTCCTTCTCTGCACAGCCGGGCCTTAATAAACACAGGGCAGGGTACAGGTGGGAGGCTACTGAGTGCCCAACCTAAACCTAGCCCAGCAGCAGGAGGCAGGACAGGGCATGGCTCAAACCCACCAACCTCCACTCCAGCTGGGTGACCCCTGACAAGCAACTGCCCTGTTTGTACCTCAGTTTCCTCACAGTCAAAATGAAGCTGGCAACACCCACTCGGGGTACCTTGGGAGGCATCAGTGAGACCCAGGATCGCCTCTGTAGAGATGGGGGTCATTGCTGTCCCCCAGGGGAGGGGTGCCCAGGGCACCAGGATGTTCCAGGGGCTCAGGGAGGGCTGGGTGGGGTAGTGACTGTGGGTACTGGGTTCCCAGGTAGACGGAACAGTGTGCCAGACAAGGGAACAGCACGTGCAGAGGCCCACGTAGCAGGGCAGCAGCAGACAGACTGCGGGAGAGGCGTCTGCCGGGCCCAGAGATCCTCCATGAAGACAGTGGAGGGGATCTGGGAGGAGCTCAGGGAAAAGCCAAACGCCTGCCTGTCAAGAAGGGGGTCAGACATGGCCCCTGGTCCCTGATCAGCATCCATGGGCAAGTGTAGCCTTGATCTTCAGCTGTTGCATGCAAAGCTGAGACCCAGCAAGCTGTGAGGTGACAGGGAGGCAGCTATCCCATCATGCCCTAGGCTGGATAGAGTGGGGACCCCAGGAGAAGGGACAGGGCCAAATGACTTGGGGAAAAGATGCTCATTCTAGATTCCCAGGTCACAAAGGCTCCGAGAAGTCCTGCCCTGAGGATTGGAGATGGATGGGTCTCTCCTCACCTGTGGCCAGGCTGGGACAGGCAGGGCCCCGCTCGGGAGGCTTGGGTACCCTCACTGTAACTACACACTCGGAGCTCCTCACTGAGTCGTACAACACATCCAGCCACACTGCTGGATTTCATTTATTCATTCAACAAACAGGGTTCCCAACGTCTCAGGTGAGGGAATTGAGGCTCTGAGAGGTGGCATGACTCCCAGGTGGTAGGAAGGTAGTGTTGCCAGTTTAAACCAAAGACAGTCCCACTGAGAGTGGGGTTGGGGGTAGGGCAAACAGACCTGGATCCAACATCCAAGTGAGTGATCACTGGCACTTCCTGGAGGTGGCGTCAGCCCTCATCAGCTGTGAGGGTGCAGCAGGCGCAGAAGCCAATTCTAAGGCCCAGCTCCACCCTTGCTGGGATCCTGGGTGAACTAGGGAAGGGGCTGGGCCTGGTGGCGAGGGCACTGAATGCCAGAGCGCGAAACCCAGCTGCACGGGTGCTGATCCATGCTGAGCTGCTCTGGAGGCTGGCCCACCCACAGCTCCCCAAGATCCCACAGTCTGATGGGAAGTGTGGTGGTCAGCAGGGCAGGGGCTTCTGGCTGAGGAGGCATAGGGCAGTCAAGGTAGGGCACCCCGGAGGGCCCCAGTGGCCCAAGGAGGAGAAGACTGAGTCTAGGAGGATGTCCCCATGCTGGCGGAAGTCAGGCAGCCAGGGGGAGAGGGCAGGCAGTGTGGGGCCCACTGGTGGTTCCCTTAGGCAGGCAGGTGCAATGTCTACATAGGACCCCTGGGTGGATTCCATCCCTTACCCACCATGGCCTCCCTAGAGGATCTGAGGAAAGCCTTGGCAGGCCTGTGGCATGTGGGGCTCTGAGTGTGCGCATCCCAAGGTGTGCGTGGGGATGGGGAACAGCAGTGGCCTGGAGCCTGTCTCTTCATTGACTCACTCCTGTGTTTGCATTACTACTGCATGCATGAGGCCATATCAGTGTGACAACACTGCCCCTCCTCATCCAGACTGTTGTTCTGTCCACTTTACAGATGAGGAAACTGAGGCTCAGAGACTCTGAGGGCCCCATGTATTCAGAGCGGAGTCAGGTTTGGCAGGCAGGCCAGGCCAGGCTGGAGCTGGCCCTTGATGGCTGTGTTTCAGTCCTCTGGCCCCACTGTGCCTCCCCTCCGACTCTGAGTCCCCGAGAGCTGGCTCCATCCCCTTGGTTCCATCCCCTTGCCCACCCGGGAAAAGATCCAAGTGTGAGCAGGCAGAGCAGGTCTGGGTCAGTGGAGAACTCAAAGCCTCCAGCCCTAGTAGAGATTCCAGGCCCTCAGCCTCAGCCTCAGCCTCAAGCCAGGGTCTGCAAGGACATAGCGCTGGCCCTTGCCCACTGGCCAGCCATTCCAGGGCATGGGATCTACTCTGCCTTGGGCAGGCCCAGGGCACCTGCAGGGCAGGAGGAGGGGATGGAACCATGTTTTCCAGCCCCCAGCCTAGCCTGGGGAAATGACAGGCACAGGGTCTGCTTCCCTTCTGTGCAGGATCCCAAGGCACAGCCTCCCTGCTCAAATGTGAAGGACTCTAGTGGTCACTTAATAAACAAGTACAGAGAGGCTCACTGGCCTGGGCAAGATCAAGGTTCCAGGGAAGGGAGTGGCAGAATCAGACTGGAACCGAGTCTCAGTGACCTGCTTGCTCAGCGCCTGTCTCCCTGAGGGCCAGGTCTGTGTCTTCCCTTCCCACTGACAGGCAGGCAGGGGGCCCAGGCCAGGTCGTCCCAGAGATGCAGGACTTCCTCTCCTTCCTGGGCACTCAGCAAGGGCCCCCCTCCATGAGTCCTCATCCTTCAAGCAAGAGAGGGTATGTAGATGTCCCCAGAGAACTGTCACTTCGTAATTAAATCAGGATGTCCTTAGTTGCTAAGAAAGGTGAAGCCAAGGAATGAAAGGGGGACCTGGGGGTGAGGGTTGGGGATAGACAGAGAAAAGGGACAGGATGGCAGGTACAGAGCATCCGGGGACCCACTGCATCTGGGGTGAGGCCCAGGCAGTAGCCAGGATCAGAGCTCAGAGTGTGACTGAGATTAAGAGTCAAGATGGGACATGATCAGGTCTTAGAGTCACAGAGCCACAGAGGTCTTAGAGCTCACTATGTTACTGGGATCAGGGATTAGTGTGTGACCTAGGTTAGGTTCAGTGTATGTGCTGGGCCAGGGCTCCTAGTGTCAAGAGGGAGCAGGAACCTGTGGGAAGACAGCCCTCTTCTTCCCAAGGACCTCCTGGGCAGCCCTACTGCTGAGGCAATGTCCATCACCCTGAGTGCCAACTTCCCAGCCCTCATGTCCCCTCATGCCCACAGAACACCTGTCCTGCCCCAAACACCTGTCTCTCAGAGCCCATTGGGCTGAAGGAGGCTGACCAGCTCATACAGCAAACAGGGCTCTGCCATAGACTGGGCAGCACTGGGCTCCTCCCAACCGCCTCAGGGCAGCAGGCATCCAGAACAGGGGTCCGGGGCACCTCGCCAGACGCTGACCTCTCTGAGCCTAAGGATAGAAGTGGCCACCTGCCCTGCCAGAACAACCTTCCAAAGGCTTCCTTGCTGAGTTCCCGCCCCCAGGCCAGGCATTGAACCCCATCTTCTGGGAGGCAAGGAACTCAAAGTTTCACTCTACCAGGATAGAAAGGCAAGTGGTCACTAAAGCGGGCAGTGTCCAGCCTGTGTACAGCAGGCAGCAACTGCCAGAGACATAGGAGGAAGACAATAGGAAGGGTCTTCTTGTCCCCTACAGAACGAGGGGCACTCTGTACCAGAATGTCCCATGTGCCCCCCTCTGCATGCCTCTCCCCAGAGGCTCCTTTCTCCTGAAAAACCCAGAAATGTCCTTATTTGGAGGATCAGCCGGCTGGGGTTGGGGTAGGATCCCGTTAACCCTTCATTTATAAATAAAGGGATAAATCACAGCCGAGTTAAACACGCCTCGGCAGAAACATAAACAGCATGGGCGGCTCCAGCCCAGGCCCCTGCCTGCCCTGGGCCCCACGGCCCCCCGGCCCAGAGTACGGTGTTTATTTGACTCACACCGGCCAGCCCAGCCGGCTGTCTGCTGGGACCTGGCTCCAGGCTCCAACCCCAGCAAGGAGCCCCATGTTGGGGGGAACGAGAGTGCCAAACTCTCCAGACTGGTAAGGAGCTGAGCACTGGCCACTGAACCCATATCCAGCCTCCAGTTCCCCATGGCAAAGGTCCAGGGTGTTGACCTGGAGCTGGCCTCGAAGGAGGTGAGAACAGGCTTGGAGGACAGTGGGTATGGGGCAGGGTGGGTCATATAGCTCAGAGGTCCCAACATGGCCAACCTCTGTCCCAGCAAAACTGGTTCATCAGCCACCACCTGTGAGCTGGGTGCTGCTATGCCCTTAGTCCAGGTCAGCTCAGGTCCCCTCCTAGCAGCAACGGGATCTCAGAGGTATAGATTAGGAAACAAGGCACAGAGCAGTTAAGCAACGTGCTGGAGTTTACACAGCGAGTAAGGGAAGAACCAGGGCTCTGAAAGTACTTACGAGCCCTGTCACCTTTGTCTTTGCTCTCGAGCTGAGGACAGTCTGCAAGGCAAGTCTTCACCTGTCCAGCAGGTAAAGTCTCAGAATTCTTAGTATTTTGCCAAAGCTCTGCACAGCAAATGCCAGCTGTGGGGAAAGCAAAGAGAGCAGGTAGTTCAGGTAGACTGCACAAAGGCACTGGGGTGAGGATTATTGGGGACACAATGGGAGACAAACCAGGCAAGGTCCCAGCCTCAAGGCAAGGCTGGGCTGGCACCTCTTGTAACCATTCTCCCTGCCTCCAGGCCGGTGGTGTGCTGGCCGCTGCCATGCCCTTTGTGTCTACGGCGGGGCCCTGGGCCGTGGCAGCCCCCAATGCCACGGCGACGGCTTGGACCAACAGCAGTGTGCCCGAGACGCCCCTGTTCTACCTGTTCGCCCTCCTGGATGAGGAGCTGCACACCGCCTTCCCGCGCCTGTGGCTGGCCCTGATCGCCGTCCACGGTGCCATCTTTCTGGTGGGGCTGGTGCTCAATGGGCTGGCGCTGTATGTCTTCTGTTGTCGCACCCGGGCCAGTTCGCCGTCAGTCACCTACACTATCAACCTGGTGGTGACCGACCTGCTGGTGGGCCTGTCCCTGCCCACACGCTTCGCGGTCTTCTATGGGGCGCGAGGCTGCCTGCGCTGCGCCTTCCCACACGTCTTTGGCTACTTCCTCAACATGCACTGCTCCATCCTCTTCCTCACCTGCATCTGCGTGGACCGCTACCTGGCCATCGTGCAGCCTGAAGGCTCTCGCCGCTGGCGCCAGCCTGCCTGTGCCAGAGCCATGTGCGCCTTCGTGTGGCTGGCCGCCGGCACCGTGACCCTGTCCGTGCTGGGCGTGACGGCCAGTGGACGGCCCTGCTGCCATGTCTTTGCATTGACCGTCCTAGAGTTCCTGCTGCCACTGCTGGTCATCAGCGTCTTCACGGGCCGTATCATGTGCGCACTGTCGCGACCCGGCCTGCTGCGCCAGGGCCGCCAGCGCCGTATCCGGGCCACACAGCTGCTGCTCACGGTGCTCGTCATCTTCCTTGTCTGCTTCACACCCTTCCACGCCCGCCAGGTGGCCGTAGCTCTGTGGCCCAGCGTGCCGCATCACACAAGCCTTGTGGTCTACCATGTGGCCGTGACGCTCAGCAGCCTCAACAGCTGCATGGACCCCATCGTCTACTGCTTTGTCACCAGTGGCTTCCAGGCCACCGTCCGTGGTCTCTTCCGCAGGCATGGAGCAGAGTTGGAGCCCAGCAGCGGGAATGTGGTGAGCTTGCATAAGAGTTCCAAGGGCTCAGGCTCCCATCGTATGCTCAGCCCTGGCCCTCACGCCCTCACTCAGGCCCTGACCAATGGGCCTGAGCCTTAGGCCCTCTGCACGGGGCCAAGGGTCAGGCTCAGCTGGTCTCCAGCCTGCACACCTGCTGGGCCAGGAGCGCCTGTTGATTTCATAGTGATGAACTGGAGACAGCTGCACAGTGCATTGCATCAACATCCCGTGTTGCGTTGATGAGTGATATCTGCCATGGGCTCCAGATGGGGTGTAGTGGTCCGAATGCCAATGACCTGCCTGCCCTGTGGCTCTGTGTGTCCACTGAAAACCCAGAAAGGCAGCCAGGAGCTGCTCCTCACCTGGGCCATTTTGTCCCTAGAAGAAACTCCTCAAAGGAACAAATGATTTCTCAGCTCTGGAGACTCCATGAGGGCTACAAAGCAACCTGGAGATCTTCCCTATAGCCCCCCCAATACATCCAGACAGGCAGAGGAACAAGAGCAGAAAGAAGATGTCATGGATGGCAGAGTCCCTCTCTGTAAGCCCCCAGCATCCTTGAGCCACACGGACAGCAGGATGCCACAGGGCGCCCTGCTGAGCACCAGGGCTCAGCTAGTTGACACTTGAACCTACAGAAACACCACAAAGGAGAAACTGTATTCACCCATTTCTTGGTGCTGGAGGGCGGAAGTGACACGCACAGGTGCCACCACCTGTGGCAGGGCTAGAACCAAAACCCAGCTCCAGTGCCTCCAGTGTCCTTGCTCCTCCTTCTGTGGATTCCATGCTGCAGGAAAGGTCCAAAGACCGCCTGCTGCCCCAGAGGATGGCAGGGCTCGTGCCCGGCCCTATGGATGAGGAAACCGGAGCAAAACTGCACAGCAGCTCGAACCCAGGCCTGCCCCCGAAAGGCCACAGGCCTCTTTGTTCTCCCCATACCCTCCACAGCGAGGGATATTTCTCTGGTGAGGGCCTCTGATCACCTCCTCTGAGCTGGAATTGCCTCCCACTGCCTTTGTGGAGGGTCTAACCTCCCAAGAGCCCTTTACAAACGGGTGGGGGCTGTGGTGGAGGAGAGGCATCCTAAGCACCCCTGCCCTCAAACTTGGCCACAGCCGCTGAAGCAGGTGAGATGGAAGCTGGGTCCAGATTGAGTGCTGTCTACTGAGAAGAGTCCTCCATGCCGCAGGACTCATGGCCTGTGTGGCTGGGAGGGGAGGTGGGTCCCAGCCTGGCTCCAGGCAAAGCATCCCATCTCTAAGCTCAGGGGCCCCACTGGAGAGAAGAGGGCCAATTATTCCTCGTTTTACAGGCAAGGACACTGAGTTCAGGAAGGGCTTTGCCTCGGGCACAAAGGGACAACCCAGGTAATCCAAGGCCAGCATTGCCCTTGCTGATCCAGGAGCCTTCCAGCTACAAGACTTGGTGCTGCTGCTGAGATGGGAGTGGGAGGGAGCCTTAGCTGGAGCCCAGACGTCACACACCAGCCCCAGCAAGCTGGCATGGGGCTGGAACTCCACTGAAACTACGTCCTGGCCTTGTGCCTGGGAAGCAGGGGCATAAATCGTCAGCACCCTCCTCGCCCTCCTGGGGCAGCGCAGCGAGGCTGAAGCTCACTAGGGCAGCTGGCTCTCAGGCCAGACACTGCTGGCCCAGGGAGTGCCACATCAGTGGACTCTCAGTCCAGGAGGCTCCAGCCATCTGGCTTCTGTCCCAGGGCTGCCAGCGGCACCTGGAAGTCACACCTGAAATCAGAGAGCAAGGGGGACAGGTGTCAGGTGCCACCCCAACCCCTACCTGTGGGGCCAGGGTCTCTTGGCCTAGTCATCCCTGGACCCTTCCCCAACACTTGATTATCCAAGGCCAGGGACCCTGGATGTCATTTATTATGGACTCTGGCTTCTCTTGCTCCATCCCAGGGGACCTCCAGGCCCCAGAGGCTGCCCATCTGCACCCCCATGCCCACCCAATCCAGCTCTCCACGTGACCCCCCTTTGACCTCTGTGCTTGAGGGTCATCTCACTGGGCCAATGGGGAGCCAGAGGGCAGTGGGAAGGGATGCTCAGGCCTGGGCAAAGGTGAGGACCAGGACTGTGTCAGCCCCTCTGACCGTGCATGCAGGTTCACGGACTCCCTTCTTTTGTAGCACATGTCTCTCTGCCAATGTTCTGTGCCCTACCAGTCCTTCCACTACCTTCCCCTTTTTTGTCCTCACCAAAGCTCCCCCATCCTGGTTTCTTACTGGTTATCTCTCTAATTCATACTAAAGAGTGAATGGCCAACCCTAGCTGACCGCTGCGCTTGTACATGGAAAGGTCTATTTTTCTGAAATTCTTCTAGAATGAGGAGTTTCTAAAGCAGATGAGCCAAGCTCCCCTTCTGTCCCCACATCTGAAATCCCACCACTCAGCCTGGGTTCCTTAAGGCCTTAAAGGCCTCTCAGACGGCAAGGCTGAAGGACATTCAGGGTCCAGGCTGGATCCTGCCACCATTCAAGCTGAGAGGACCAGCCAACTGTTTTCTAGGGCCAGGGGCCAGGGCTTTGGGGCCGGCCACCTTCATACCTCTGAGAACTCTGACAGCCCCTCGCACAGAACTGCGGGGCCGGGTTTCCCCATAGCCACTCTCCGCTCCTCAGCCTGGTGGCTGGAGAGCAGGGAGCTGGAGGCAGAACATCCACCCTCAGACCCTTGTTTGGGCTGCGCAGCTCCCTCAGCTGCTTGTCCCCTCCTGACAGCTAGACCCTCTTGGTGGGGATCAGGGCCAGCCAATTCATTCCAGACGTAAGCTTGGTCCCACAGGGCTGTGTCCTCCATCCGTGTTCTCTCATCCTAGATTTTCAAAAAGTCGGCTTGATGTGAAATGTGTGTATTTATATCCAATGTAAACAACGTCCGTAGCGAGAAGTCCTCATCTTAAATTAACACTGTTTATTTCCTCTGTGCCCACGACTTGGCACCCAGGCTGGCAGGCAGGGGTCGACATGGGGCACCCAGCTGGGAGAGACTGGCATGTCCCCCACTCCACCGATGTCCTGTGGAGCAGCAGAACAGTGGCCCCTTGGCCTGTCCCTGGTCCCAGCTCAGCCTGCCCAGGGAGGGGGTGTGGAAGTGGGTGTCCAGCCAGACCACACAGTGTCTTACCAAATCACCAAAGTGTGATCTGGAGGTGAGGGAGTGACCTGCCTGGGAGCCTACTAAGTGCCTGGGAGTCACCCCTCCCCCAACCCTGGGAGGTCAGGGTATCACCCCCACTTCACAGATGGGGATACTGAGGTGGAGGTCAGTTCAGGAGGGGCTCTGCCCACACACAGCCCTGTCTCTGGCCCCAGCCCGGGAGGCGCTGGGGTGGGGAGGTGTTGACTGAACTCATCACTCTCCCTGTCTGGCACCCTCAGAGGCCGGAGGCGTCTGGAGGTAAATATTAGGGCCTGTTTAGATTAACTGCCATTAATAGCAGGAAATGTCACCTCGGCACCCAAGCTGGCTTCCTGGAAGCCTGCATGCCTGAGGCAGTGCTGGGACCCAGTCTGAGCTGGACGCCTAGTGGAGGCCTGGCCTCAGTGCATTCCAGGCTCTGGCTGTGTCCCACTTGGTGGCCCCCTGCTGCTCTCCTTGCTCATAGGCAGGTCCTGGAGGGGGGTTCTGCATGCAGGGGCTCCCTGACCCTCACTCTCACCTCCTGGGAAGAGGTTTTGCATGCCAGAGGCAACCTGCACTCCCCCACTTCCTGGAGGGGTCCCAGAGACAGGGGTGAGCCACCAGGACCAAAGGGAAGCAGACACAGTGAAGTGGAGAATCCAGCACAAGACCCATCCCATTCTGCCTGCCCCTCGTCTGGGCTGTGTTCCCACCTCACAGAGGAGGAAACCTAGTCTGAGAGTGATAAAGGGACCAGTACTCCCCAGTGTCACCCAGAGAAAGGGCTGGAATTCCCCACCCAGGCCTCTAGGTTCCAGGGTCCAGGGTGCCCCCAACCAGGAACCCCTCATTAGGAGCTACAGAAGCTGGGGGCCCTTGAGGGAGAGAGCAGTCAAGTTGTATGTCAGCTAGAGCACCTGGCCTTGGAGGCCAGGTAGGATAGGCCAGGTAGGGCAAGCAGGACAGGCAGGATAGGCAAAAATGGCTCTCCATGCAACATAAACAGTCCTGCGCACCCCCCACACCACGCCTCTGCCCCTGCCTGGACCCCACCCTCTTTCCACAGGACCCCTGATCCACTGGTACTCCCAGCTCTCCAGCCAGCCCAGGCCTCCAGCACACCCACCCCATAGGGAAATCACCTTCTGTACACATTACTGCCCAGTCCACGCCCAGCCTCCCCTCCACTGCCCCATTCCCTGGGGCTCCACTCACCCCAAGACGGGACGATAGCCCAGAGCCCCAAGGGCCTCTGCATGTCTGTTCTCCCCTACCCCCAAAGTCCCTCGTCATGAGCCCACCCACACCCCAAAGCTCAGGGCTAGCTGAGTCCTGCCCCCTGGGGTCAGCAGTCTGGTGGCACAGCTGGATAAGGCTCAGATCCATACGGCTGGCCCTGGGACACCAGCCACATGCTGGGAGGGAGCGAAGGCTCTATGGAGAAGGTGACACCCTATGTCTCCTCCATCCTCATTCTGCCCACTTGGGCAGAGGTCTTTCTCCCCAGTGGCTCCTGCTTTCCTTCCAGCTGGGCCTCTCTCTGAGGCTGTGGTGCAAACATCAAGCACCCCTCGAGCGGGGCAGGCTGCAGAGCCAAGGCCCCTCACCCCATTTCATAGAAAAGACCGTGGACATCCTCCCCACCAGACTCCACACTGGACCTAGACCAGCTCCACACAATTTACTGCCCTAGGCTTGGCTTCTCCATGTGTAGGTGGGGACAAGAAGAGGCAGCTGAGACCCCCTGTCCCTCTGGGCCTTAAGTTCCTCATCTGTAATTCGGAGCCTGGGGGGGGAGGTGTGCACTCCAGGATGTGGGACCCGCCAGCTCTCTACCCACCGGCCCCACATTTTCAGATGCTTAAGTGGGAAGCCCCACAGTGTCCAGATGCTTAAGTGGGAAGCTCTGTGTTCATAAACCAAGCTCCAGCTGGGGTTCTCTGTGCAAGAGGGGCC